GCCCCAGAGACCCCTTACCTACCTCCAGCTCCTGTGACTCCTGTATCTCCTGCCACGTGAACTGCATGTCTCCTCTGCCTCTCCCCACTCCCCATCTAGGGCTGCACTCTGTGTCCCTAGACCCCAGGTCCATGAAGTTAATGTCTCTTCTTGTCCCTCCAGGGCTGGACTGTGATATTGACATCCCCAGGACCATTCAGCGGGTGCGACAGCAGCGCTCTGGGATGGTGCAGACAGAAGCCCAGTATAAGTTTGTCTATATGGCCGTGCAGAGGCATATTGAAGGGGAGCAGTGGAGGCTGCAGGAGGAGCAGGTGAACCAGACCTCCCCTCCCAGACCTGCCCCTCATGCCCTTTGACCCCCTGTGCCCCATCCTGGATAAACCTGCCTCCCATCGCCACCCACTGGATTCAGTCTGCTCTCCCCATTCCAGTTCCTTTCCCTGCCCTTGGCACCCCCCTCCCCATACTGACCTCTGCCCCCCATCTTACAGCGCAATAGGCAGAAGGAGCGGGAATATCTAAACATTCGCTCCCCGCCCTCGGACCCCTCCAGAAGCAAAGGGCTGTCACCCTCCAGGGCACAGTCTGTGTGAGTGGGTGGAGGAAGGTGGAGGATGGTGGGGGGGGGCCTGAGGGGAATACAAGGGTGAGACATGGTGGGGAATAGGGTGGAATGATGGGGACTTCAGCTGTGGATGGTGTGTTTTGGGGCCCAGTCTGCTTGTGGGGGCACTAGAGAGGGATCCCAGAGACTTGCCCATCTGGCACCTCCCCCAGCAATAGCCAAGGTTCCCACCAGGGGGCAGCAGATGACCATGGGCCCTATTGGGTAGCTCTGGGCTTCTGCGTGAACCCATCCCCACCCCCCAAGAGCTAAGTGTCTCTTGGGGAGACTTGATAGGAGATGGCTGGTAGGAACACAAAAAGCAGACTTAGGAAAATAGACTTGGTGGTTTGGGTGGGGGCTGAAAGGGGGAGCTGCTAGCCTTCAGATCTGTCCTGAAGCATCTCCCTACCTTGGTTCTGAGACCCAACTTTCTTCCCCACCAGGATGAGCGAGGATTCTGCCTGCATCTATGAAAACCTGAATGTTAGGGCCCCCTCAGTATCTGGACTAAGCAACACGGGAAGATAAGACTGAGGTCTCACAGGTACCCCGTGGGAGGGGGGCAGGGCTTGGCGCTGGTGATGCCAACCTAGGTGAGACACTGCAGTGGGGGGGGATAGCTCATCTGCTCTGGGTATAGACCTCACTCCCTCCCCTCCCTTTCCCCAGGGCTGGTCACGTTCACATCTGTCCGTCTGTCTGTCCATCCTCTCCTCCTGCTGAAGCCAAGTCCCTTGAGCAGTGACTGGAGCCTGCAGCAGGAAGTCACCTGGGAGTCAAGGGGGAGAGCATGTGGTCTGGGGGCTAGCCAGACTGGCTACAGGCTTTTCTTGGTCGGGGGGTTTTTAAAAAGAAAAAAAGAGGAATTTTTTTGGGGGGGATTGTTTTGTAAAAAAAAAATGTTAGAGTGATTTCTAGGGATTAGACCTTTTCAAGAAGATATATTCTGGAGGGGCTGGGGTCCCTCTTTCTCAGACCATTCTCTCCCCCATCCCTTTCCTTGTGAGATCAAGCTAGGCTGGGGCCTAGGGAGGGAAGGACCAGCCCCATCCTCTCTGTTTCTTTCAGCATCTGAACCCTGTACCAGAAAGGTGCAGGAACAGCTCAGGGGAAAACTACCCTTCCGACTGACAGGGGTGGGGGGATAGGGTGTGTGTGTGTGTGTGTGTGTGTGTGTGTGTGTGTGTGTGTGTGTGTTTCTTCGTGTAACTGAATGTGTATGACACTGAACCTTTGAATGTGTAATCCGTGTTTGGTAGGTATGCACCATTTGCCGCTTGTCTGTGACTGCGTGTGGGGAGTGTGTGTGTGCGTATCTGTGTGACTCACTTAGTCAACAAGCATTTATTAAGTGCTTACTGTGTGCCAGGCTCTGTACTAAGCACCAGGGATACAGAGAAAGGCAAAAACACTTGTCTCTGTGGTCAAGGAACTCACAATCTAAGGGGGGGGAGACAGTCTGCAAAACTGAGTGTGGCTGAATCTAAGTGACTGTCCATGTGATTCTGCATGTTCCAGTGTGTGTACGAATCCGGGTGAGGGGCTTCCCTTCCCCTCCCGTCCTCTGGGACCTCTGACCCCTTGTGGGCTTTACCATGAGTGGTCCCACCTTGGCCCCAGCATACAATTGGCCCCTTATGACTCTGTTTCTAGTAAATGCTGGACCTTCTCACAATGTTGGCTTTGAGCATTTGTTTTTCCTGTGTCTGGGTGTGGGGGAGGGGGAGTATGAGTTAGCCTTCGTGCTCTGAAGGTTCCTGCCCTGATCTCACCCCTCCCCCAGCATCAGGCAGCTTCATGGAGGAAGTTGACTCTGTCTTGGGAGGTAAGAGGTAAGGTGGATGGGAGGACTCAGGAACCTGCCCCTCCCTGGCGCTCCCAGTCTGCCTGGGTGACTGGGTGATGGGACTGCATTCGACACCCCCCACTCCTGAGAATGGGGAGAGGATGTGTGGACACCAACTGCATCTTGTCCGGGCACCAGTTTTATTTGTCTTGCGGGGATAGGTTATGAGGTCTGAAGATGGGATAGCCCCGTTGGAGGGGTGTGAGGTGGAAGACAATACACGTGATAGTTTCTTGTAGGGTGGGGGGAATGACAGAGAGGAAGACGGTTCCACAGCCCACCTCACATCCCCCATGCCCTTTGTACCCTTATTTCTGCCTTAGCCTATTCAGGTGGGAGTGTCCTCCAAGTCCTCAGAGATGCCTGGAGGCAACCACAGCTCAGGGTAATCCTGGATGCAGCCTTCAAGGCTTCTCTTTAATGGCTTGTCCATCCTCCCTATGCAGTTCTCACCTCCCCATTAAACCTGGATCCTGGAAACTGCCTCTTCTCTTGGGGTGTTCAGGGAAGATCAGCCCTCTGGTGGGAGGGCTCGCTGACCCCTTTTTGGGGCTGCACATCCACCTCTGGTGTCCTCCTTCACTCAGCTGTCACCTGTGATTCCAAGAAGCCATACACACAGCAGCCACACCTCAGCAAAACCGTCTTGGCAGACAGGCTAAACCAGGTTGAGGGTAACTGAGGGGCCTCAAACCCTTTGGTGAGTTAAGGGGATGTCTACCCCAAGTATGAGAAGACTTCCCCTGGAGGAATGGGCAGGTGAGAACAGTTTGTTCCAAGGGTCAGGAAGGCAGCTGAAGCAGATACTGTGGAGGGCTTAGAGCTTGGTCAGACATCCAAAGACACCACTGCACCCTGGGCCGTCACCACCCCTCTGCATCCATCGCCAGTCATCCTGACTTTTGGCCTGCCACTGGACTTGGATGATTCAGGAAAGGAGAGTGAGACAGAGTCAGCCTCGCCGAAATCTATTTCACAAGCAAGTCATCACTCATGATGTCACTGGTCCCTTTGGAAGGAAGGACAATGCTTCCCCTCCTGCCTCTCTGGCCACTCCTGTCTTCTGTCCTTGTTCCTTTTCCTCCTCCCATCTTTTTAGTGCTTGTGTGTCTGTCTCTCCCCTCAGGCATCACTGACTCTCCTCTCTTTGCTCTCCCCCTTAATAGAAGCTTTTTGGATTGGACAGATTTAATCCATCCCTCTCCCTGCACCAGCACCCACCTTCACTACCACTTCTATACAGAGAACTCCCAGATCTCTGCTTCTGGTCTGTTTCTCCAGTCCATCATTGCCAATGGCTGCTTGACACATAGCTGCCTGTACCATCTGCCAGCATCTCCATCTGGACATGTCTAAAACGGAGCACTCCTTCTTCCCTCAGTCCACCTCTCCTCCTATTAATTCATTTAACACACATTTATTAAGGACTTCCTCTCTCTCTGTGTGTTTTAATGAGATCTGTGAAGAACTCCCCTTTATCAGCTCAGGGCAAATCACATAACCTCTATCTGCCTTAGTTTCCTCATCCGTGAAATGGGAAGAATAATAGTGCCTATTTCCCTCTCTGGGTTGTTGGGAGGATCAAATGCGTGTAAAATGTTTTGCAAACTTCCGAGTGAAAATGCTAATGAAAAGGTTGGATGTGGCTTTGATCTTTGTGGTCTGCATCAGGTGACTTGGCCACAGTCACACAGCCCGAATGCATCGCAGGTCAGGCTTGGACCCAGGTCTCCACCACATGGAAGCCAGCTCTGTCCATGGTACCGCTCTGTCCTCTCACTTAATAAACGCTTGTTAGACCTGAACAAAGAGTGGATCATTGAAGAGCATGAGGCTACTTGGACCATAGTCCTTGGATACCAGGGAGACCCTACTCCTACCTTCTCTGGGCCTCCATTCTACCTGGGATGAGTTTAGAAATCCCCAAAGGCTGAAGTCGAGGTTTTATTTTTCTTTTTCACACAGACACAGATATAAAATTATTTATTTCTTTAACAAACAAACAGCAATTAACAAAGGAGGGGGGCAAATATTGCCCCTTGGTTCCTGCTTGCTCCCTGATCACAGGTCAGTCATGGGTCTGTGGGGTGGGTGGACTGGGGAATGGAAAGTTTGCCGGTCAGTTAATGCCCAAGATCTGCTCAGACCAGTAGAATAATGGGGGGAGGGATTAGAGAGGTCAGCAAGTTCTGGCTCAGTGCCCCCACCCAAAGACAGGTTCTACTAGTGGGGTAAGAGGGGTTAAGGTCAGAGTCAGACCAGGGAAGTAGGGAAGGGTGATTCTTGAGGAGAGGCACTAAGTATTGGGCAGGGAGGGCTGGAGAGCAGGATGGGGTCCAGGGGAGGGGAGGGACCAGCCCTGCCCAGCCTGGGGAACCCCTAGGGAGAGGATGGTGTGGAAGACACCAGAGCCTCAGGGATGAAATGTCTACATAAAAATAAAAATAAAATACACACAAGCTATAGAAAATTACATTATCACTGTCCCAGGGGCCACTCACTTTGCCCCCATCCTCACCCACCCCGCCCTCCCCTCCCCACCTAGTTCTTTTTTCACATTTTAACAAAGGATCCATTAGAAAGAGCTCTAGGCCAGGAGCCAGTAGACTTGGGGTCAAATCCCAGCTCAGTCCCTGGTTCATTTTGTGACCTTGGACAAGTCATTTTCTTTGTAAAGTAAAGGAGTTAGAGTAGGTGCCCAGTAAGGTCCCTTCCAGCTCTGACTCGTCTGTGAATCTGTCATAGCTCCATTAAGAATTATCTCCTCATTTCACACCCCCTCCCATGCCTCCCAAACAATCAGGTCCTTGAGAGTCAGTCCCATGGTAGAATCTGGACGTAGACCTTGGGGGGCTGAGAAGGCTGGGCAGTCAGGCTAGCCAGGGGTCCAGGCCAGATTATTGCACTCAGACGAGGTGGGGGTTGGGGTGGGGCTAGCCTGATTAATTATCAATCAAAGGGAAAATGGAGGGGGTGGGCCGGTGAATTATGGGGGGAGGGGGGCGGTTCGTGAAGCAGCGTAGGTTGCCAGTCTTCAGGGCGCACTGAACGGGCCACAGGACGATACAGAAGAGGATAATCAGCAGCACGGTGATGAGGACGATTCTTTTCCAGTCACTGCAGTAGGAACACCTGGCCAGAATCCCTCTGCGTCGAGGTGGGATGGGGGACGGGAGATTGACAGTATCTGGCTTGCTCATGCCCACGTCCACACAGATGCAAGCCGGAGGCTCGGATGTGCTAGGAGGCAAGGGGGGCCTGTAGCAGAGTTTGCTCCCGTCCATCCAGACGGGCTCCTCCTTCCGCAGATGCGGGGCCAGTGACGCCAGCAGCTCTTGGTTGGTGCGCAAGGCGGGGGCGCCGGTCAGCGGCACAGGTGTGGGCTGGCGGCACAGCGGGCAGGGTATAGCGTCGTCCGACTGCCCGGCAGGCTGGGCCGCCATGAGCCGAGCCAGGCACTCCAGGCAGAAGACGTGAGTGCAAGACAGGACCTTCGGTGTCTTGAAGATATTATCATATCCCGTAAAGCAGATGGAACATTCCAGCGGGGACGATACCTTCTCTGATCCATCCTCAGGGGAGCCTGGGGCTGGAGGGGACATGGGCTTCATGGGCATCAGCACGGTGGGGCTGCTCAGGCCTGGTGGGGGCACCTCCGTGTGCCATACTTGCTCCGTCGATGACATACTTCTGGTCTGGGGGACAAAGCAGAGACTGAGTCAGAGACCAGAGAGGCCCTCCCTCCTCTCATCCCATCTCTCATACTCAGAGTCCCCAGAGAAGGAAGGACAGCCCCAGTTCTGCTCTCGGTCCCCTCCGTTCTAGAAAGTCCTGCTTTATACCTAACTCAAGTCATTCCTGCCACAATCTGAATCCATCCACTGCCCTCCACTTGGTCTAGATGAGATCTCCCTCCTTGGAATATAACTGAGTCCAGCGATGAACATCCCTTGGTGTTCAACCAAAAAAAAAAGTCTCCAAGATTTTATACACACACCTAACAGATATCTATTATTTCCTTTAATCTTCACAACAACCCTGTGATTGAGGCATTGTTTTTATGCCATTTTACTGATGAAGATATTGGGGCCCATCAGGGTTAAACTAGTGCGAGTGCTAGGATTTGAACCCATATCATTCTGAGTCCAGGACTAACATGTTATTCGCTGTGCCAGGCTGCCTCCAAGGACTGGAATTCTGACTGGATTCAAACCTAAGTCTTATTGATGCCAAGTTCAAAGAGAAGGATATTCTTTAACTGAAATTCTCAGTCTGTTCAGTTGTGTCCCACTCTCTGTGATCCCATCTAGGGTTTTCTTGGCAGAGATGCTGGAGGGGTTTTCCATTTCCTCCTCCAACTCATTTTACAGATGAGGAAACTGAGGTAAGCAGGGGAAAGTGACTTGCTCAGGGTCACACAACTAGTAAATATCTGAGGCTGGATCGCTCTATCCACTGCACCACCTAGCTGCCCCGATCTCAGTTTAGCCCTGTGGAAGTAAAAGGAAAGATCGTCTACATCTCTTGCTAACCACCCTTACTCTGGGCTTCCTTTCCCCTTAGCAAGGCTGAGCTCTGTGTGTGTGTTTGTGTGTGTGTTTGTGTGTGTCTATTAGGGGAGGGTGGCTACAGAACCCTTCCCTCCCAAGCAGCTCCTGGGGTTTTCAGCTTGATCATCTATGAAGGGCTGGCTGAGTGGAGGGAGGGAGGGAAAGCTGGGGCAGAGTCCAAATCCTGCTTTGTCCTCCTGCATCCAGGGATGTTTTGGGAAAGTGAAGGGGAACCAGGGGAACCATCATGATTAAAGTGTACGAAATTTTCATTAGACCTTTTTGGGGCAGTTGGGGAGAGACAAGTTGAATGAAGAGACAAGAAGGCCTTGTTTCCTTAAGTTTGTGTGTGTGTGTGTGTGTGTGTGTGTGTGTGTGTGTGTGTGTGTTGGGTGGGGGGGTTTGTCACCTCTCATTCACCACATCCTCATTTACAGCCTGAGGCCCTGCCCAGGCTGCAGGGTTAACAATGACCTTGGCCAAAGGAAAGGTAAAGAGGGTAGCTGGGAGGATGAGATACAGTTCTCAGGGAGCCCCTGGGCTGGCCTGGGAGACATGAACCTGGACCCTCACAAGTCAACCTGTCCCAAGCTGACCCCATCATCTGCCCCCCCCCCCCCCCCGTCAGGCTCCCTAGTTCTGTGGACGGTGCTGCCATCCGTCTGGGTACCCAGGTTCACAACCTGGAAGCTTTCCTCCCTCACTCCCTGCCTCCTGTGCCAGTCCAGTCAGTGACCACGTCTTGTCAATTCCATTCTGCTTCTCTTCTGTCTGTCCCCTTCTCTCCACTCACAGGGGCCACCAATCCCATCACCCCTCACTCGGATTATTGTATTCAACAGACATGGGTTAAACCTTCCATGTGCAAAGCAAGATGCTTGATACCCACAGATCCCCTTGCCTCTGGGCTCTCCAATCCAACCTCACCCTCCACCACCTCAGCTCCCAAATTAATCACTGAGAGACATGTGGAGTTAGAGTTAACTAGAGTGACCGTGGGCAAGTCATCAGACCTGTTTGAGGCGGTTTCATTGACTGCTAAAGGAGACAGACAGTGTGTCATAGTGGATAGAGGGCCAGCCCTGAGCTCAGGGAGATCTGGGTTCCAATCTCACCTATGATACCAATATTGGTCTGTGTGTCCCTGAGCACATTATTTAACTTTCCAGTGCTCCATAAGGGTACAGGGAGTTTCTCGTGTCAGTGAAAGCAGACCCAGACCCTAGCTCTAATAGCACTTCCCAGAGCCCTGAGGATCAGATTTATTAACATATGCAAAGTGCTTTGTAAACTTTAGAGGCTCTGGAAACCTTAGCTCTCCTCCCCTCCCTCTCCCAATCCTGAGCTTTGGTTTCCCAATGGGCAAGCATCCTGGGTGTAGGTGTGGGGGATGGGGGGTGGCAGTAGACCGAGGCCCCTCTCAAGCACCTCCCGTAGTTTCAGCTCAATCAGCTCTGAGGGGCTGCCTGAGAGTGGCTGGTTGGGTGTGGGGAGGGAGGGAAATTTGGGCCAGAGTTCAAAAGCTTGGACCATATCATTCCCTTGCTCAGAAAACTTCATTGACTCCCTATGCCTGTGGGCAAAAAATAAAAACTTCTTCGCTTAGCTTTTAAGGTTCTCGGCTTCACGGCTCTGACCTCATTTCAGTTTATTCCCCGACAAGGTTAATTGAGTTGTGGACGTGGTGTCAGAAGACCTAGACTTCAGTCCCACCTCTGACAATCACCAGTTGCATGTGGCCTTGGGAAATCACTGCCCTGCTCTCAGCTTCAATTTCTCCATCTGTAAAATGGGCACGATATCCCAGCCATGCCCAGTTCTCACGGTCCTTGGGAGACTAATGAGAGCACATATTAAAAGTGCTAGAGAAATGTCAGTTCTTGGGATGACAGGATAATGATCGTGACTCTTCCGAGAACCTGACCATGCATGGAATGCCCCTCCTTCCTCATTTCCACTTGCCAAAAACCCTTCTCTTCCTTCCAGATTCAGTTCAGACACCGCCTCCTTTTCCAGGAAGCCATCCCTGATCCACCACCCCCAACCTGGCTGAAAATGCCTGCCCCCTTCTCTGACTGTCCTGGAGCACTTTGGGTTTCTCCTTTGCCCCCTTGGTCCCTACCTTATCTACTCATTGACATCCCTGCCTCATTATCCCGAGGAGAAAGTAAGCCCCTTGAGTGCAGGGGTGGTGTAGCTTGCTTTATCTAGCATGGCAGGATCTTTGAACTTAGCAGAAGCTAATAAATGCTTGGTGCATTAGAGGTAATGGAGGGCCTTGACTGATAGGGATGTGGAGGCAGGAGGACACAGAGTTTACCAAATCCTTCACTCTTGTCCTCTCCTGTGAGCCTCCCAACTCTCCTGTGAACTGGGGGTGACACCCCAGGAATATTCTGTGCTAGCGGTCCCTGCCCCTGCTCCAAGAGAGCGGAGCTAAAGGATCCTGACTCTGGAAAGGACCCCGCGGGGCCACTCAGTCCAAGCCCCCAAGACTAGGGATGTTCAAAGACTCGTCCAAGGTCATGAGGGTAATTGAGAAAGGAGATTAGAACCCAGGTCCCCTGACTCCTTTTTCTGTTGACCACTGTCTTCCTATTTTAAAGATGAGAAAACTGAGAGTCATCCGTAGGAAGTGACTTGCCCAGGCTTAATACAGCTCACAGGTGGCAGTGTCTGGATTTCAACCCAGGACAGCACCCGTTCCATTCTGCTGGTCTGACTCCAAGCTTGTCCTACTGAGGTGTTTGAGATGAGGCTGGATGACCATTCTTGTAGAGGATCTGACCCAGTGAGAGTTCTCTACAGACCTAACAATGTTGTAAAAATGTTAGCCATTGGTAGCAGTAAGGATTTTGAGGGGCAGGGTGAGGCTTGGACTGTGCAGCTGCTGAGATCTCTCCCAGCTCTGACAGAATGAGAGCCTACGATGGGGGGCCAGTGCACCCCTGCTGAAATCCTTGTCACTCTGTGACCTTGGACAAGTCACTTCTCTTGGGAGCTCAGTTTCCCTATCTGTAAAATGAAATAAGACAAAGCTGTTCAGTGATGTCCCACTCCTGGTGACCCCATTTGGGGTTGTCTTGGCAGAGATACTGGAGTGGTTTGTCATTTCCTTCTCCAGCTCATTTTTACAGATGAGGAAACTGAGGCAAACAGGTTGCAGTGACTTGCCCAGGGTCACACAGCTAGTACGTATCAGGCTGGATTTAAACTCAGGTCCTTCTGACTGCAGGCCCAGGGCTCTATCCAAAATAAGACAAAGGGGTTAGACTAAATGACCCATAAGGGCTCTTACCTCGGGGACTTCCTCCAAATCTCAGCTAAAGTCTCCCTTCTACAAAACGCCTGTCCCAATTCGTCTTAATCCAAGTGCTTTCCAGATCAGTGGATTATCTCCAATTTATCCAGTTGTATCATTTGATCACAGTTGTTTACAAATTGTCATCTCTATCAGACTGTAAACTCCCTGAGGGCAGACACTGTCTTTTGCCTTTTTTTTTTTTTTTGTATTCCCAATACTTGGCATAGTTCCCAGCACACAGTAGGAACATAATAAATGTTTATTAACTGGCTGGACTGGACATAAGAACGTTGCCAGCTCCTAGTGAGCCTCCCTTGGCCCCTGGGCTGAGCTGAGGGCTGTCAGGACCCAGCCAGACTAGCCCTGACGCCCAGGTTGTCCCCATCACCAATACTCTTCTCCTCAGGTCAGAACCTGTTTGGACCTCACTTGGTGGCAGAGTCATCAGGGCCAACAAATATTTATTCCTCACCGGGGTGGGTTCCAGAAAGGGACAGTCACACCTGTGGCCATGCCCTGGCTGCCAGTGACTGTGGGAATGCAGCAGGGAGTGGAGCAGGCTCTCTGCTAGATACCTGAGGTTTTGGCTCACCAGAACCCGAGAATTGCAGGCCTGTGACTCATCTTCAACACGAGATCTGGGAATGACTGCATGTGACCTGTCATTTGACTAACAGTGTGCCTCACGTAGTGGAATGAGGCCCAGGTTCAGGTCCTGACTCAGCATTGGACCTGCTGGGCCAACTCACACAAGTCCCTACCCCTCTCTGGCCTTCTGTCTCTTCCTCTCTGAAAAGAAGGACTGAGACCAGACAGTCTCTGAGCTCCCTTCTGGCTTTCA